CGAAGTTATTGGCGAGAAAAATCATTATTTCGGGAATTACGTAAGCTAGGAGGCAGAAATTTCAGAGCGATATCCACTACCTATCTACGTTAGACTCCGCAAAGTTAAATTCAGCCTTCACATGTCTCTGAGTACTACATGCGGCTTTTTGTAAATTTTGGAGGAGAAATTACTAGCTCTGGAGTCGGAAGAGCCAAGTGGCTGGAAATTTCGGGAGAATTTTTTTTGCCCATGCAGGATCTCATAATTTAGCTCCCAATTATGCCGAATTCTCTTTCTGCGACCACGCAGGAGTGAGTTAAAATTTTGGAAGAATGTTCACCATTCAAGATTCATTTCAGCCTTCGCGTACGTTTGTGCTTTACGTACTGGTACGTGAGACTCTTAGTGGGAAATTTCCCAGCCTAGGAATCGGGCAACACATCAATTATTTTTGCACAGACTAAAGTCTGCTGAACGGAACTGCGCAAAACGCATGATTGCACTGGCTATCTTAATGTGCGCAGCTATTTAATAGATTGAAGACGCCGGTTTTCACTTGCGTGGTAAAGAAACCAAACTCTCAGGAGTGAGCGACACTTGGCGACAAGGTGAGGTGAGGCAGCATGCCGGAAAGTAGTAAAAAGCGTATAACCTGTTTTGTAGGCAGACTCTGGAAAAGCGGATCAATGATAAAGTTGCTGACAAAAATTGCGATTTTCAAAATGCTGTAACTCAAAGCCATTATCGTATGCCTTATTTCCTATAATGTGTGGAAAGTGGAGGCTGGTAAGGGAGAGGGTGGGTAGAGGGGCTGTAGGAGATGAAGATTTTATTTAAACTTTTATTTCATAACTAGCTCACTTCGCAAATCCGTCCAATTTCAAGCCATGGATAGAAGATCATTTCAGGCATGAAATCCAGATACCTTCGATACACATCCTCGCAACCTCGTAACTCATACTTGTCCTTCAGATCTGCAAGTAGCGTCACAGTCATTCACTAAAACAACGTCACGTCTTCGAATACTCATCAGAAAAGCTCATGAAAAATAATACAAATGAGATAAAAAGCGACGGTAGTATGAAGCAAATGGAGATTATGAACATTTCCACGACTCCATAATAACAGTAATAACAATAGCAATAGTAATAATATAGGGGTAATAATAACAATGAAACTGATATTATTATTACTATCATAGCCAATATTATTATTAATATTATTATTGATATTACTAATACTACTACTAATATTATCAATATTATTATTAATATTATTATCAGTTATATCATCAATAGCAAAATAATAGGGATAATGATAGTAATAACAGTTCTTGTTATAGATGTTGCAGTTAAACATTTTAAACATTTTTGACTCATTTTGATTATACACTTTTATAAATAATATATAATATCGATACACAATTTTATGATTGCCATTAGTTCAGTCGGCACTTCTGGTAATAATTTTATTAGCCTACATGACCTTTTATTTTATTTTATTAGCTTCACGCATGACCTGCAAGTTCAACGACTCAACTCAGGGCGGTCAAGAACACATTCATTGTTATGAATATCCACGAAAAGCCAGCAAAATGTGTGTTCTACTACTGGCAGCAAAAGCTGAAACGTGTAACGATGCCACATAATTTGAATACTTTACGCAGCTGCTAATTCGTAGTTAGGTTTTCTACTTATGCAAATGGCAGCTTTTCTAGCTGCTTTGACTAGTTCAGCTTGTTTATAATTCTGACGTTCGTTTTGTGCCCTACAGAAATTACAAGGTCAGCAGTTCTTTCAACTGATATTACAAGGTATTAGTCAGTTTCAAGATGTTTTTGGTGCGTGT